GCCCCTAGGTCCTGCGGCAACAATACTCCGCCCACTCGAGGACGCGTGGTCTAACCGCTAAGGCATACCATGAGTACGTTCCCCCCACCCCCCCCACACGCATGCCCCCTCGAAGGGGAAATCCTTGAAGTTTTCGGGCTCCGCCGGGGGAAAGATAAAGCCCGGCCTCAGCTCCTTCGCAGCATCTCCGAAAGACGCGGCGGCATACATGCTGCCGCTGCTCGCCAAGGCCTCCGAGCTCGTGCCGCGAGAAAGGCACCCAACGACGAAGGTATGTACGTACCCCGACGGACGATTGTCTTTGTTGTCCCCTTGTCATCGTGCGGAAGTAGAGTTTGTTTGTGAGGCCGAATCGAGCTCAAGGTTACGTCGTTTGCGCGAGCGTTGTTGTGTCCGCGGCCGGGAATCGAAATCAAGATTGGTTGTTTCCGTAAAGCGGCTGATGTGTCTGCTGCCGGTGAGAGTGCTTACTCCCTTTCGAGATTCGGATGACCAAGTTTGCTTAGCCCATGTCGTCTTTGTTTGAGAATGTGGTGGTTGAAGGTGTGAATATTGGTTTGTCGTGCAGTGTCATGAATAATGGACGTTGCTCGAAGCTGTTGGTGTGCACCTTTAGAGTTGCCGTGGGCCCTCACGAAGCCCTCGTCATTATCTCCACAAGCAAGCAGCAGTGACGCCGCCATCGCCTTTCGGAATATCAACCAGCCCAACTTATTTATGTAGTGTTAACACTCTGTGGATGCCAACCCGGAGGACAGGCGCAGACCTAGGTCGTTTTTACTTTGCAGTACGATACATGCGTTGATGGAGTACTCCACAACGATTGATCGATGAATCCCGAAGCAGCAAACATCGACAACGACGACAATGACCGACGCTGATCGATCCGGCAACAGGTCTTGATCAAGTCAACAGCTGGCATGCGGCTGCTGCCCTTGGAGGCTCAAGAGGGCATCTACGACGAGATTTACGCCGCCCTAGGTATGGCGCCAGATCTCCGCTCGAAATTTGTGCACCATTTTTCCCAAGAGTCCCAACAAAGGGGGTACGCGAAATCCGTGGTCGGTGACCTCGGTTTTCCAATCGTGATTCATTTTGAAATCTTTCGGGTGCAGTAAGCGTCAGCTTTTCCGTCTTTCGACATTATATGCATGGTTTTTTTTTGGAGCAGGTAAGCTCCGTTGGTGCTTTTTCCCGTATGTGAGTGCTTGCTTTATGCCGTGGTGCGAGGTGGTGCACCGTTAATTTTGCGACAGACTCTCCATTGGGTGCTTTTCCCTCGTAATTGAGTATTTGGCGCCGCGATAGGTGGCTCATGCCAAGGAACACGCAGGGTTGTCAAGGTGTCACCCGCGAGTGTCTTTCCTGCATCGCCCGGTTGAAATAGTCGAAAGAACGTTTGTCGGAAGTGCGGGGCTTCGGTGTTGATGCGACGACAAGAACGTCAACAGCACATCGGTAACGAGCTGCCTTGCTGGGGCACACTCGAAGACGTTTCTGAGTTGGGATAGGCCTATCTAATCGCTCACCAAGTTCAAGGCTTGCTTTTTTCGCACGGAGGAATCTGATGCTATTATTAGGAGAGGTGAGATGAGCTTGGCGACGATTCGAACCTTCCAACATACATACCAACCTTCTAACCCCCCCCCCCTCCCCCCCCTCTGTCACTACGCTATAACACCCCTCTGCCAGTGGGAAACCCGTTGTTCCCTTTCGCCATAGACCGCGGCGACGTCGGCACTCTCGACGGCGACATGGAGGCGTTTTACGCGGTTCTCTCGGCTAATTTCCTGGCGGGACGCATAGACGCGCTCATGCACCCTACGGGCCACGCTTCAGGGGAGATCGGCGCATTGGACATGGGTGAGGTTTGGGGACAGGGGGCGGACGGGATGTACTCATAGCCGTGCATGGCGTAGTCGTGAGACTATTGACGTTCCACCCCTAAAAAGCCGGGACGGAGCACGCCAGGTTTTTCACCTGACCAAGCTAGCACATCACCAAGCGCGAAGCGCCGTTGGCATTGGTTGGTCCCTCATAGAAAGTCGACCGATAGCTAGCTTTCCGGCCGGACGTGGGGTCATTTTGTCATGTTCCCTTTTTGGTTGGTTTTCTTGTGTCCACGTCCCTGAAAGGTTGAGGCTAATCCTGTGTGTCTGTTGCTCAGCACGCCAACTAGTCTCGTTTGTCTTAAACCCTACCCCCCTCCCGTGTCCTGTACACGTGTCCTGCAATTCACCCCTGCTGAACCACGTTTCACGCCAAGAAAAATACGAGAACCGAAGGATAGTTATTCCAAAGTTTTTAATCATGTCCGAGGTGTGTGTACGCATCTGCGTTTTTGTTTTTGTCTTTTTCAACACCATCCACCCGACTGATCTTGACACATGTAGGTATCCCGCTGCTGTTGCTTGTTCCAGGCGGTGCGAGCACCCAGATAATCTTCCGACACAATGCTGCTGGACGCCCGGAGCACGCCGACGAAGTCGAGGCGGCAGAGAATGATGCTCGCAACGACCGCCCCTGCTGTCACCAAGAACCCTCCCCTGCCGTCGCAAACTACGACGGCAACACCGACACGACCAGCAGCAGCACCACCGCGTGTAGCCCACGAGGTAGTAGAAGTGCAGTGCCAACACGGGATAGGAACGGTACTTGTACCGTTGCAGAAGGGGAAGGGGGTTGTGCGGACGGGCAAGGGGGGAGGGGAAGGGTGGACACCGTCCCCGTCTCCCGGGCCGACTTCTGGGGGGCTAGCCACCTGGGGTATGGCGTTGCTGAGGTGAGCTCATTTTTTGTTGATGTACCACTTGTCACGTTTTGAAGTACTTTTCTTAGGCTGTAGTCTGCAACGTTTTGTTCCTATTTTTGTTCCCATTGTCCCACGATTACTCTCTCTCTGTCTCTCTCTCCCCCTCTCTCTTTCTTAGCCCCTTGCCACCTGCCGTGTCCACGGAGAGGGAGCAGGTACGCACGTACGTGCTTCGTATCGATGCGCGCCGCATTGAGCCTCTGTAACGTAGCCCGTTCACGGCTGCGGAGGTCCCAAGATCCTCGAGAGGTGGCCTCATCTTGAAGACCGCTAACACTCCAACAGCAGCAGCTGTTGTTGTTGTCTTCACAATCAACACCGTGGCGTCCTCTCGGCCCAGTACCTTCTTCTGTCCGTACTAGGGCTAACACTTGACGGGGTCGATTCCCGTGGTCACAGGCTAACCTACCCAAAAAAGGGCATACGAAAATGAAATGGACCCGAAGGGTCCGCAAGCCAATAGAAGCAGTAGAAAAAGGACATTGTCATCGACCGTGTACTGCTGTACCTGGTGCCTGTTCAGAATGCGACCGCCCTTCGGACTCCGGACAGCCCTCCTGGCCCACACTCGAATACGACGCGTCACTTCTCATGTGTGCGTGTGTGTGTTTGCTCGGGCGTGCGTTGATCTTTATCTCGCTGTTTGGTTGCGCGCTCGTTTAGGTCCGGCTTAGAATGTGGGACTTGTTGGTGGAGACACCACGTGTGCCCGAGGGCGATGGACATGGACATGGAGACGTCGTCAACCCTTGTTCGTTTGTGGGTCGCGTTGACGAGTGGAAGGTGGGGGGCACCGTGTGGTGTGCCTGCCGTACACACATGCCATCGTTGTCCGTTTTCTCGTGCATGTGTGCGCGTAGTTGTTCTTTGGTACTTGAATCGAAGAAATGTTTGTGTCCGTTTCCGTCTTCTTTTGTGTACGGTTTGTTTTTGTAGTTTCTTTACCGTGTCACGTTCGTTTGTTTGTTTTTTCGCCGCGTCGATCGTCCCCGAGAGCCCGAGGAGATCGCTAACGTCCACGCTGGCGAATTTTGAGTAACCCCCCCCCCCCCCCCCCCCCCCCCCCCCCCCCCCCCCCCCC